GTTTCGGACCTTGCGGGCAAGCGCCGGGCCCTGGGAGCGTCAGCGTGTGACTCGGAATGAGAAGCGGGTGCTGCGAAGGGGTCGAGATCTCTGGGAGCCCACGTTGCGAAAAGGTCACGCGGTTGGGGATAGGTTTCCCCAACTATAATCCTTGTTTGGTTGGTGCGCAGTCCAAGACGTCGTTTGGTGCGTGCGACGCGTTTCGGGGGCACTTAGCCCTGCTCGTCAGGCATTGGCCAAAATGGTTGTCGCACGGTGCACTCACACGGGACCGCGATGTAAAATGGCCTCGTGGGTCTGAGCCGCTTTGACCTGCAAAAGCGGCAACGGCGAACAGAAAAGAAGCACGAGGACGGGGAGGAGACTCGAGGTGTTGGTGTCTGACTTTTTTGATCTGGGTGGGCCTGGGGAAGCCTCCGCGGGCCTCCGAAGCCCCTGACTAGAGACCTCTGCCCTAGCCTGCGCGGGGGTGGGGGTGGGGGGCATTTTCGCGCTCGTATTCCCTGAGATCATCGCGCAATTGCTATCGCAACACGTATTCACAATTTCCTGCCTCGCACATTGTAAACATATATTTTCCGTGGCACTGAAAGGTCAAATCATGTATCCTGCAGTCGAATATACATGACATGTTTCGCGAAACAAGTTAGGTAGTACAATCTGTATGGTGTACGCCGTGTGCTGCAATCGATGTGATGTAGGCTATGGGGTACAAGCTGCGAGGTGGAAGCTATGTGGTGCGAGCTGCGTGGTGCAGTGTGTTTGGCGTAAGCTGTGCGAGGCAAGCCGTGTGGTGCAAGCTACGTGGTGCAAGCTGCGCGGCGCACGGCATGTGGCAACGCCGCGGGAGTCTGTGCCGCCGCCCTGCGCGCCAGGCGCCCGCGTGGCGCCCACGGGGCGAGGACGGGCGGACGCCGGGCGACACCTCGGCACGCCCGCCCGGCGCACGAGGCGCCCGCGAAGCCCCTGCGGGTGGCCGCGGGCGGGCACCCCGGGCAACGCCTCGGCCCCTCCGCCCACCGCACGCGGCGCCCACGAGGCGCCCACGGGCGGGCACCGGGCGACACCTCGGCGCACCCCCCCCCCGGGCGCACGAGGCACTCGCGGGGCGGTGCGGGGCGGCCACGGGCCGGCACGCGGCGGAGCCTCGGCCCACCGGCCCACCGCCCGAGGCGCCCGCGAGGCGCCCAGCAGCCGGGCACGGGTCGGCCCCCCCCCCCGTGCACACCCAGCAAGGTTCTGCGGTGACCCGGGTAAAATAAGAGCCCCATGGGGCAAGCACGGTCCCGGGAGCGGGAGCGGAGCGGCCAGACCGATCCCCACGCGCACAAGTGTGCGAAGGGCATTCCGGGCAGCAGGCGCGCCTAGATAAACACGGCAGCGCGTATTCGGGATGATGTGTGAGAAGGATGCACGGATCAACATGCGACGACTGGACACGCAGAGAGGCGCTTTACAGTCACACATGCTGTGAAACACATCAGCGCGGCATGGCGTAACGCGTATCCCCAGCCTTCCGTGAGGACCTCCGAAAGCTTATGTTTATGCGGTTTGCTATCGTTCGCACTTGGAGTCGATGCATCCCCACATGAGCGTACCCTCCCCTGACGTTGCCCCCAGTACCCGCGCCCCAGACCGCTGCGGAACCACCCGCCCTCCTCTGGCTGCGGTGTTCACAGCACTCGTCTGCAACGCTGCCGGCGTCGGCTGTCGGCGTCGGCGGCGTCAGCGGCGGCGGCGACAATGCCGCCGCCGTGGGCGGCGCCGTCGTCTTCGGCGGCATCGTCGGCGTCGCCGTCGTCGTCGGCGGCGGGTTTCCTGCGCTGCTCCTCGCTGGCCTGCAGCGCCGCCCGGCACTGCGCGGCCTGCTGCGCGACCTGCTGCTTGAGCGCCAAGGCCTGCGGGCTCCTCCTCCGTCTTGCCTCCTCCTCCCTCTCCTCCTGCTCCTCCTCCCCTCCTCCTTCCCGCCTTTTCCTCCCCCTCCCCCTCCTCCTGCTCCTCCTCCTCCTGCTCCCTACTCCGCCCCCCTCTTCCTCATCCTCATCCGCTGCTCCCTCTTCCCCTCCCCCTACCCCTCATCCAGCTCCTCCATCCAAATTTCGCCGGGGGGCGCCGAGAGAGGAGGACCACGCCTGAGTCGGGCTCGAGCACTGACCCAAGTCAATGCAAATCCGGGTCAGTCGGGCCTGGCAAGATCCTGCAGGGTCCTGCAGGATCCTGCACGCAAGCCCGGGTCGGTGCAACCCTGGCGTGGCAGGATCCTGCAAAAGCCGGCGCTCTGGCCGACCCCCGTTTGCATTGACCCCCGCCTCAAGGCTCCCGGCGCAGGGGAGGTGGCGCCTTCCCGGCCGCAAGGGGCGTGGGAAAGTGGCGGCGCAGCGCGCGCAGATCCAGAAGGAAAATCAAAAAGACACTGATACCGTTACTCGCCGAACCTCTCCTGGGGTGCGCTCTGACCAGAACTCTGGAGGATAATCCAGCCACGTCGGCGAATCACAGGGAATATGTCGACCACTATCCCGGGCTTCGCGGGGACAGCGAATGGACCAGAGATTGTGGGCCCAACCCTGGGATGTACGATGGGGGGGCGCTTATCCTCGATAGGGGTTCGTCCGAATAGCCCCCTTGGGATGTGTCCCAGGGAGGCCCTTCTTTTCTGAGCGGCTTCATTTTTCGTCGAAAAGGCGGGGGGCATGGGGAAGAAACATCGCCTGCGAATGAGGGCTCTTCAGGACGAGCAGCGGTATCGAAAGCTGTTCCGCCTCTGAGTTCCAGCCCCCGAGGTAGCCCGGATTCGCAGGGGCGGTGTCCCCTGGCGGGCTGGGGGAGGAGGAGGGAGAGGAGGAGGAGTGGAAGGAGAAAGATAGAGAGAGGAGGAGGGGCAATATGGGGGAGGAGGAGGATGAGGAGGAGGAGGGGGGACAATGAGGAGGAGGAGGAGGAGGAGGAGGAGGAGGAGGAGGAGGAGGAGGAGGAGGGGGAGGAGAGGGAGGCGGAGGAGGACAGAGGGAGGAGGAGGGAGAGGGAGACCGTTGAGGCCCTCACCTCCAACCCAAGCCCTTACCACGTAGAAGGTATGCTGGCACGTGCGGAGTGCAAACATATCGTGTGCGGTTGTGCCGTAAATTATACGGTCGGAGCCTCGTCTGGGCAAGTCTTCCAGAACAATTGGCTGGCCATTTGGAAAGATGTTGGCCGCAGGGACTCGCAAATGCTTGGGCTGGAGCTTAGAAGGACAGCAGGGCGCAGATTGAGCACGTGCTGAAAAGGGATGGCACCATTGTGAGGGAGGCATCGGATGAAATCAGACCTTCCCACCACCAACCTCCACATTCATCCCATGGTGGCCTAACCCTCAACATGGCCGAACATATGCACAATGCCAAAGGACGCTGTATACGCTATGTATACATTAGCTGTCGCTCAGTACAGGAGGTTTGGATGTACAGCATGATCCACCCATTGTCCATCTTCGCATCTCTCCTCCAGGTATGGCCCTGGGGGCTCCCTTGCAGGGTACGGGGCTTTACGTGATCAGGTCGTGGATGTAGCGGTCACTGTATCCCGGACTGCTGTTGTGATGAGCTCGCTCTCTGTATTTGACATGGTTTGGGCGGTGGTGAGTTGCGCGGTACCTGCTGAAACTTCTTGAAAATTACACGTGCTTGAGATATTGAGCGTGTGAATGTCGGTGCTGATGAATTGTCGTTAGGGGTTCCGTCAACTTAGGTTCGTTATCTTTGTTGGGGTTGTGTGTCGGTTCAATTGGTAGTCGAGCACGTTTGTCTGTCTTGTTCCCTACCTAGGCTCTGCCTAGAAGGGTTCTTACTGTGTGGGCTTAAAGGGCCGGGCAGTGGAACCCGCCCCGGGCGGTTCCCCGAGGATCCGCCACGCGGTTCCCCCAGTGACGTTCCCTTAGCTTAACGTTGCTTATCTCATCTTAGCTTAGCCTAGCTTAGCTTTGCTTGGCTTCATCTTAGCTTCGCGTAGCTGTAGCTTAGCTTAGCTTAACATATCATACCATAGCCCAGCATAACATAGCATAGCATAGCATAGCGCAGCATAGCATAGCATATAATAGCATAACATAGCATAGCATAGCATAGCATAGCATAGCATATCGCAGCATAGCTCGGTATAACATTGCATAGCGCAGCATAGCATAGCATATCATAGTCTAGCATAACATAGCGCAGTCTGGCGTAGCATAGCATAGCGCATCATAGCATAGCATAGCCTAGCATAGCATAGTGCAACATAGCATAGCATAGCATAGCATAGCAGCAAAGCAAAGGCAAAGCAACATCAGCAACAACAAAGCAACGCACAAGCAACGCAAAGCAACAGCAAAAGCAAAGCAAACTATATGCAAAGCAAAATCAATGTGCAACAGTACGATCAGAGAGCCCACCCGGTGAGCGAAAGCAGAAACATGCGTGTGTGCGTGCGAAGGCAAAGCAAAAGCAAAACCAAGCAAAAGCATCAACAAGCAGAAACAAACACAACTACGACGATAAGGAGAAGGAGAAGGACGGCGTTTACCGTTACTACTAATGCTGCTTTCCTAGGGGCTCCAACTCCTAGGTAGGTCGCACTGGGGTAATTAGTCGATTGGCGGTGGTGCGTTGGGTGGTAACTTCGCATGTTTCGATGGTGGTTTGGATCTGGCTGGCTCGTTGCTCTGCTGGTATGTCTGCCAACCAACCGAGCTGGGCTGCGGAGGTGCTGGGCGGTGATCATATGACTGGTATGTGGGGACGTGGTGGCGGTCGGGTTGGGTTGTTGTATGGCGTGTGGGTCGTCATGTTGATGCTACATGTTCGGTGGGCTGTGCGCGTTGTCGCCTGTCGTCGTTTTTTCTTGCTGTCGCCTTCCTGGTTGGGATCGTAGGTGGGTGAGCTGCTCGTCAGACTGCTGGTGTTGCTGCCGCGTTCATGTTAGTGTGCTGGTTCCTCATGTGGGCAGCTGGTCTTTTCCAGTAGTGATATTGCCATTGGAGGGTCGTGTGTCCACTTTGGGTCCGAGTATGATGAGGTACAGCCATTGTGACATGTGTGAGTGTGCGCTGGCGTGTCTCCCTGGCAAGCTGGTCTCTTCTGGCTTGGCAATCATGTTGTGGATGTACTTGTGGTTGGCTGGTTTGGCTTTGATATTCGTGCTTTGATAGGAGGTATATGTTGTATGTCGGGTGGCCTGGTGACGAGCTCCCTGTTGCATGTGTCAAGCCGTCCGTGCAAGCTGTCGATCAGGAAGTGGTCGCCTGGGTGCTTGTGCGTGTAATGGTTGTCCTTGTTGTTGTAGTAGGTGGCCGTGACGCTGGCTGGGGGGTCATCGATTGCAATGGGTAAGGTTTGGTTAAATTTCTGGAGTCGGGTTGCTGTCGTAGCTGCTCCATTCATCATCCAGCAGTCGTGACCACCTCCATCCCATCCCCCCGACACAGTCGAGCCAGGAGTCAGACTCCACGATGCTCTTTTCCTGGGCGCCCAGCGACATCACTGTGTCTACAGCAAGCACGTTGGCAGACGATGTGCCTCATTTGCTCTGTCAGCTCCGCTCGGGGTGTACAGCGGTGCTCCCCCAAGGGTAGAGCAAACTGCAACACTCTACACCATCTCGCCTCCCTTTACGCTACTCACCGCCCTACTCCTGACCCCAGTGTTGCAGCAGCCCATATCAAGAATGCGGCCATACACACAGCAGGTCCCCAGCCTGTACTGCAACCATACTTGGAGGGGCCTGGACGATACCCAAGTATGCCAGGGGGCATGTGCAGCCAATCTTACCAACGCAACCTTCCAACTTAATGCCAACACCGCTCCCGTACTGCCCACGTGTACTTGAAACCAATGCCACTTTACGACTCCAGCCCGGCGTTGATCACTCGAGCTCAGTGCACGGTCTAGTTACCCGACGTAATGAAGGATGTGGGTGCGTGATTTGGTGGTGTGCATGATGGAGGGTACCACATCGATTGACAAAAGACCGAGTACGAGTTCACAAAAAAAGTTAGCCACAGCCTGCTTCAGTCATCACGAGCCCACAACTTGAAGCTGCCGCCTGCAGGGGTAGATCGTCTCCTGCCCTTTTCGGTGTCCCCATTACGAGTAGTGGCTTCGATTATGGTTTTGCTCCCCCATTATCATTCACATGCTGCTCGCTTAGTTACTCTGTGCCCTCATGGGCCCGTGGACGTTTCCCAATTAACCGAGCTCCAACTGTTTTGCCCTGGCTCGCAATGTTAATAGATTGGCCACAGCGCCTAAGTCGGCGTATATTCAACGCCTGAATTTCTCCACCACTGGAACGCTGCAATCCGTGCTGAGTCGGCCTAGCCTCTAGAAGGGGGAGGAGGATGAAGAGGAGGAGGAGGAGGAGGAGGAGGAGGAGGAGGAGGAAAGGATGATGATGAGGAGGAGGAGGAGGAAAAGGAGGATTCGCTGAGGATTCGCTCGCAACGTCTAGTCGAATCGGCCGAGGGCGAGGCGACTACGCTCGAAAACGGAGGCGCCCTTCATCCCAGGCCTGTCCTGGGCAATCTGAGGCCTCCGAAGCTCTGATTCGTGGTGGGGTGTCTTCCCTGCCACAAGCGGTTTAAACGCCCAGCTAGGACCCGAGGATTCCCCCCAGGACAGCTGGTCAACAAACCCCTCCACCGGCTGGTGGCGTAGCTTGCGCACTTCCGGCAGAATACTACTGTCTGAAGGCGCACCGCCTGGTGGCCTTCGGCTTGGGCCCGCTGGATCATCCCTCCGAGCCCCACGGGAGGCAAAGGAGGGGGGACCACGGGGTCCTGTGAGGGCGGTGGAGTGCCCGCGGGGCTCTCCACTCCCTCACTGGGCGTCGGGGCGGGGGCGGGGCTGCCCTGGGCCCCAGAGGGCCCTGGGCCCTCGGAGGTGACCGAGAACCCCGACGTGCGCGGCGAATTCCAGAACGCCTGAAACCAACTGGAACCTCTGAATATACGCGGCCCTGTACCAGGCCGCGTGCTGATGCAGTTGAGCCCCACGCTTGGCGTAGGCGTCCGCAAGTTTATTCCCGATGAACAGCCGGGGCCCTATCAAGGCCCTTTGGGCCCGTGTGGCGTGAGCTCTGACTTTGCAAGAGACGATCCCCTGCCTACCTACCCCGCCGTTTTCTCGCACGAGCCGCCAGCATTCCTGCCAGACCTCTTTGTGGGTCGTGTCAGCTCTGGCGGCCCACTCAGAGCCCCTCGCGAAGCCGTCGGGCACGGACTGGCAGTCGCTGAAGATCCGCACATGCGGGACGGCCCGCCGCAAGACCTGGAGGACCGCCATCAACTCGCTCTTGTAGATCGACTGGTCGTGCTGCGGCCCTTCCAACGGCCCGAACATGGCGTGCTCCATCTGGTGCTCATTGTCGAGCTTCACGAAGGACCACCCGCCTCTTCTCAATGCTGGGTATGCCCCGTGCAGCAAGCTGCCATCCGTGTAGATGTCGCCGTGCACGAGGCCGTCAAAGGTGCCCACCACCTCGCTGGTGGATGAGGAGGGCAAGTTCCAGACGTCGTACTCCAGCGCTGGGTCCACTGCGAGCCCTCTCCCCCGCAGCGCTTCGGAGGCCGCCAGCTGCTTCTTCGTCGCCCCAGGCCAAGTCATGGCACCACGATGGCATATGTGGTGCCCTCCCACTCTCCGTCGGTGTTCCTGCCTGGCCGAGCACGCGAACGTCCTGTGGCGGTCCGTCCCCTCGTGCTCGTGGCAGGCCTTGCAGGTGCGGTCCTCCGCGGCGCCCTTGTCGAAGAGCCGTCGCTGCGGCCAGGTGCCGCCGCACCACAGGTTGCGCGCCCGAGTCTGGTGCTCCAGCGTCCATTTCTTGCTCAGCGGTCTCTTGAGCAGCGCGGCGACGGGCTCCACGAAGAGGCTGTCCAGGCCGTGCTTCTCGCCGTGGATGCGCAGCCAGTCGCTCTTGAGGCCGTTCTCCGTGGCCGTGCTGATGCGCTGCTTCAGGTATCTGAGCGGCAGCGTCCTGAGGTCCAGGTGCTCCTCGCCGATGGTGATGCTGTGCGCCGCGAGCGTCTCCCAGCCCAGCCTCTGCTTCGTGGCGATGAAGGCCCCTGCGGGCCCTCGCACCTGCTGCCATGGGGCTCTTGCCCGCCCCACTCGTAGTACCCACTTCTTCCACGCACTCTGGAGCTGTGCCTGGAGGCCGTCCTGGTTGGCTACCTCCTGCCACGCCATGGCCCAGTTGACCAGCGGCTCCGTGTTGGCGCGGATGGCGGGGTCGGCGCCCTGCGCAAGCAGCGTGAGCGGCGATGACCTCCCCATGGCGTTGCCCCTGAAGGAGGCCGCCACGCTCTGCCGCAGGGAGGCGAGGGTGGCGTTGGCCATGCCCATGACCTGCACCCCGTACATCGCCGACGGCACCTTCCCCTGTCTGATGATCGCCTGCGCAGGCCCACCTGCGCGGCGTATGCGGGCGATGCGATATCGCCGCGCTGCGTACTTGCTGGCCCTCTTGCTGAAGGCGCTGGCGCGTCTTCGCCTGCCGGCAGCGGTGGCGACGCCGAGGTGGTCGGCGCGTCCCACCATCCTGATGCCGAGCGGGTGCGCGCGCCTGGCGAGGCCGTCCTGCAACGCGGTGGTCGAGGCCATGGTGACCGTCTTGCCCTCCGCGCCCTTGGAGACCTTCATGTCCAGCCGCTCGAACATGTCCACGAGCGCCTGCGCCAGCTGCGTGTGCCAGTACTGCACAAACATCCTCGCGTCCCGCGTGGCGACCGCCAAGTCGTCGAAAAAGAAGCAGACCGAGGCCCACGGGAAGTTGGCGATGACCCCGTCCAGCTTCCCGAAGATACCCATTTTGAGGCAGAGGGGCGCGAGGCGGCTCCCTGCTACGATGCCGCGCGCCCACCTCGGCCCCTCCGCATATGCACTGTCCAGCACGATGCGCCGCGTCATCGAGTAGATGCGCAACACCATCTTCAGGATCACCGTGTTGAATCCCGAACGCGCGCCTGCTTGCCACACCTTCTCGTGCGTGACGTACTCGAAGCACTTGACCAGGTCGAAGTACGCGACGGCGTACTCCAGCCCCTGGGCCACCGTGGCCTCTCAGAACAGCGCCTGCTCCCAGGCGGCCCTCTCGCTGGACCTCCCTCTCGCGGCCCAGTCGTAGCCCCTGCGGTGGCTCTGCTCCCAGCTCCTGGCGCACGGCATGCGGATGGTCCCCCACAGCCTAGCCAGCTCGGGGATCAGCCCGAGGTTGCGGTGCCCGCCCGACGCCTTCGCCAGCAAGTAGAACAGAATGGTGTCCTGCGCCTGCGGCCAGGGCGAGCCCGCCTCCAGGGCGTTGAGGGTGCTGGCCACCCTCGCGGCTCCTTGGATTCCTCCTTCGCGCCAGAGTCTCGGGTGCCACCCCGACCCCCCTAGCCCCGTCTTGGTCTTGAAGCGGCCGCAGGCCTCGATCGCCTGCTGCGGGGTGATGGGCGGCGGCTTTGCCTCGGCCCACTCCGTCGCCGTGGGCGGCTGGAACCACGGCGCCCTCGGCTCGAGCGGGTCGTTCCAGATGTTCTCCCACCCCTGCAGCGCGGCGTCGGCGGCCTTCTGGGGATGCGTGAGCTCGTGCATCTGGTCGCTGTCGGCTCCAGCTGGCGCTGCCTGCGGTTGCCGCAGCGCGGTGGCCTTGGTCCACTTGTGCAGCGCTCCTGCTCCTCGTTCCCCGTGCGTGGTCACCCGCTGCCGCCGCTGCGCCGCGGCCGCTCGGTGCGCCATCTTCCAGTGCCTCCTGCTGCCGAGGTCCAGCAGCGTGGCGGTGAAGCCCAGGTAGGTCTGGGCGCGCTCGTCGATGTCGCTGACGCGCCAGCCCCGCAGCGTGCGTACGATGAGCGGCCAGCGAATCGTGTTCCAAGTGTTGGGGGTCCTGCTGACCCTCGGTGGGAGGCGCTCCGACCGCGCGGCGGTCCTGTGCCCCTTCCGCCCCCTCCCGAGGGGCGTCCTCCGACTCCAGCACCCCGTCCTCCTCGTCCGAGTCGCTGCCTGTCTCGGCCGTCTGTCCAGGGGCCCGCTCGGCGAACAGCGGCATGACGATGCCGTGGTTGAGGAGCCCGTCCGCGATGTGCTGGTCTCGCCGTAGTGCGCCCGCGTCTCGCCGCCGCTGCCATGCGTTGGCCAGAAGCCTCAGCTGGCGCAGCCGCCGCGCGAGCCACGCGGCTGCCTCGGCCCACTGCTGCTGCTCCAGGGCCGCGGTGCAGGGCTCGGGCCTGCACGGCCACTGCTTGTAGTTGGCATTCTCGAAGTGGCCCTGGCGCTTGCTCCAGTCGTCGCCCTCGAAGCTGCGGTACCTGCTCAGGTGCTTCTCGTAGGCCCCCCCGAGCTCGCTCCAGTAGCCGTCGACCTGGCTCTGCGTGTACCTCCTGTGTGCTAGCGGCTTCGGCCATCGCGCTGGCTGCGATGGGCGGCCCGTTGGCCGCGCAAGCGGCCACGGCGCCCGCTCGCACAGCACGTTGATCATGTTGTCGCTCTGGTAGGGCACTGGCACCTTCACCTTGACGGGCAAGTGCGGCGACGTGTTGTACCCTTCTTGGACCTCTGCCTTGAGCGCAGGTGCAACCAGGCCGCGCGAGACGATGAAGTAGTCGCGCGTGCTCCTCGTGCCATCATTATTCAGGCAGCTGCCCTGCAGTGTGTCGCGCACGATGACCCCGTTCATCTTGCGGACGATCTCGGCCTGCTCCAGCTCCTCTGGGTCCATGTTGAAGCCGCCCCCGAGGATCCACTCCTTCTGGATCGCGTTCATGGTGGCGCCCCACTTGGCTAGGATGCATTGGCTCCTCTGCGCGAGGCCCTCGCTGTTCCACAGGTAGGCGGTCCCGAGCACGAGCCCCTCCTTGCTGTAGGCGTCAATCCAGGCCACGGCGAGTCGCCCCTTGGACCCCCGCGGGCTGATGTCCCACTGGTTGATCCCCTTGCGCACGAAGTCCATGCCCCTGCTTCGCGGCGTCGCTATCAAAACTCCAGCGCTGTGACCAGCTGTGGTCTTCGCGCTGCCCACTACCCCGATGTCCCAGCCCTCCCTGCGCATGCGGGTCTGGAACAAGTCGAGCTGCGTGCCGCTGGCCTGCAGCTCCTGGCCAAGGACGGTGGCGTCCCTGTCTCTGTCTCTGATCTGCTTCATGGCGCGCCCCGGCGACTTCACCGTGTTGGCGTTGACCGTGTACACGGCGAGGCGCGCCTTCGGGCAGCGGCGGTTGGTTCCGCCGCTGCCCGCGCTGCTGCACCCACTGCGTCTTGCTGATGGTGAGGGTGTGACCAGTCTACAGCTCGCCCACCAGCAACTTAAGAGGAGCAGCCACCTTCCCAGCCTGGTCAGGCGTGACCCCCGCGCCGACGAGGGCCCTGCAGATGTCGTGCTCGTTGGCGCCCGCGGGGATCTCGAGGAGGTTCTCCTTGGGTGGGCCCTCGGGGCAGCTCCGCTTGCGGTCGTCGGCGCTGCCAGCCCGTTCCTTGGTCGCGCGGGCCTGCTCCGCCCTGGCCTTCTGGAGGCGCTCGGCGTGCTTGGCCCGCTCTTCCTCCTGTGCCTTCTGCCCCTTGGCGTGGGCGACGGCGGCGGCGAGCTGCTCCCGCTTCTCGCTCCCGTCGTCGTCGAGGCATCGCTCGGCCTGCCCAAGGAAGGCGAGCGCTGCTGCCCAGCCTTTCCCTGGGGCAGGGACGGCCAACTCCTGGATCTTATTGTCCAAGGTCTCGAGCTTGGTGTCGAACTTGCCCAGCTTGCTGCGCTCGTCGGCGAGCTTCTCGTCGAGCGCGTCTCTCTGCTCCTGGAGCGCCCCGGTCCGCTGCTGGCACTTGTTCTTCTGCTCCGCGACTCTTTTCCTGTTTCGTACCACTCTGCACTCGGTGAAGCAGCGCGGCACTCCTGTCTCCAATGCTGCCTGCTCGGCGGCGAGCTTGTCCCCGAGCTGCGCCACCTGCGGCTGCAGGGACTCCTCCAGGAATGGGTCCTCGGCGAGCTCCCTGAGCTCCGCCAGCTTGGCACGGTAGTGCTGCACCTTGGCGAGCTGCTCGTCGTGGCCTTTGTCCTCGGGGGCCTCTCCTGCCGCCGCGCTGGAAGCTCCTGCGGCTGCCGCGGTCGGGCGGGCACCCCAGCACTTCCAGCAATACTTGTACTTCACTCCGTTCTTGACGTTGCACGGCTCGCACCGCCACGTCGTGTTGTTGCCGCCATTGCTCTTGTTGGCAAACCATCCGTGCGTTGGCTGCGACATTCGTGGCCACTCTGAAATCTAAGTGTCAGTACACTCGGGGCCTCCTGCAGGCCAAGAAAGGCGACCGAGTGCAAAATGGCTGGAGGAAAAGGAGGAGGAACAGGAGGAAGAAGAGAAGGAGGAGGGGGTTGAAGCGTCTGGGGAAGAGGAGGAGCAGGAGGAGGAGGAGGAGGAGGAGGAGGAGAAGGACGATAAGGAGGAGAAGCAGGAGGAGGAAGAGGAGGAGGATGAGGAGGAGGAGGACGACGAGAAGGAGGAGGCGGGGGAGGGGGAGAGGAGCAGGAGGCGGGAGGGGAAAAACGAGGAGGAGGGATGGAGCGGAGGCGACGAGGACGAGGCGATGATGAGGAGGGCGGCGGAGGAGGGGAAGGGAAAGGGAGGAGAAGGATAATCTTCCTTGAGGAGGTGGGGGGAGGGGGGCAGGAGGGGAAGGGGTAGGGGGGGAGGAGGGGGGGGGAGGGGGGGAGGGGAGGAGTGGTGGGGGGGAGGGGGAGGGTTTTGAGGAGGAGGCACGAGCGAGCGCCGATCTGCGGGGGCGGCGCCCCTTGCTCGGGCGACGCGCCTCGGCGCTCATCTTGCTCATGCGCTCGGTCCACGCCTGCGAGTTCTTGCCCTCCCGGCTGCTCGCCGAGGCGCGGAGGGTCTGCACCTTGATTATCCCCCAGAGGGGACGGACTTCTCCTCCTCCTCCTCCTCCTCCTCCTCCTCCTCCTCCTCCTCCCCCTCCTACTCCTCCTCCTCCGCCTCCGCTTCCTCCTCCTCGAAACTCCAAGCTCGAAGCTAGAAACTGCGGCGGACCTGCAGTTCCCTCCCTTGGATACGGCCCTCCTCCTCCTCCTCCTCCTCCTGCTCCTTCTCCTCCTCCTGCTCCTCCTCCTCCTCCTGCTCCTTCTCCTCCTCCTCTTCCCCTGGCATTCCAGAAGGGCTATGATATAGTCGCACCGGGATCTGTGGGCTGAGACTCAAGTCGAGGTCTTGAGCACTCCAAATAAGTCAACAAGTCCGAAGGGCCATGTTTGGCACTCTGGAAGGTCAAGGCCCATCTCCTCCTCCTCCTCCTCCTCCTCCTCCTCCACCTCCACCTCCTTCCTCCTCCTCCTTGATCCGCGACGTCCGAGAGTCGTTGTCCGTTGCCGTCTTTAGAACGTCCTGGGCTTCCAGGGCCCTCAGGAACCCTCCGGGACCTCGGGAGAACGCCGGCGACATCCTCCTTCGTCGTCGTCGTCGTCGTCGTCGTAGTCGTCGTCGTCGTCCTCCTCTTCTCCTCCTTCTCCTCCTTCTCTCCTCCTTCTCCTCCTCTTCCCACTTCTCCTCTCCTCCCCCTTCCTCCTCCTCCTCCTCTTTCTCCTCCTCCTCTCCTCCTGTCTCGTCTCCTCCTCCTCCTTCTCCTCCCTCCTCTCCCTCCGCCTCCTGCTCCTCCTCACTCCTCCTCCTCCTCCTCCTCCTCGTCCTCCTGCTCCTCCTCCTCTCGCCCCCTTCTCCTGCGTCGTCCTCTTAATCGTCCTTCTCGCTCTCCTCCCCCTCCTCCTCCTCCTCCTCCTCCTGCTCTTGCTCCTGCTCCTGCTCCTGCTCCTGCTCCTGCTCTTGCTCCTGCTCCTGCTCCTGCTCTTGCTCCTGCTCCTCCTCCTGCTCCTCCTTCTCCTCATCCTCCTCCTCCTCGTCTCCTGCTCCTCCTCCTCCTCCTCCTCCTCCTCTCCCTCTCTCCTCCTCCTCCTCCTAATCCCAAGTCCCCTTCCTTCTCGGCGTCATGCTCCTCCCTCCTTCTCCTCCTCCTCCTCCTCCTGCCTCCTCCTCCTCCATCTCTCCATCCTCCTCCTCCTCCTCCTCCTCGTCCTCCTCCTCTCTCCTCTGCTGCTCGTCGTCTCCTCCTCTCCTCCTCCTCCTCGTCCTCCTCCTCCTCTGCTCCTCCTCCTCTCCTTCCTCATCATCATCAGCAGCAGGCAGCATCTCAAGCAGCACCATCATCATCACCAGTCAGCATCAGCATCCGCATCAGCATCGCTCAGCATCAGTCTAATCAGCATCAGCATCAGCATCAGCATCAGCATCATCATCATCATCATCATCATCATCATCATCATCAATCATCATCATCATCCTCGTCCTCATCCTCATCCTCATCCTCATCTTCATCCTCATCCTCATCCTCATCTCCCATCCTCTCCTCCCTCTCCTCCTCCTCCTCATCATCATCATCATCATCCATCATCATCATCATCATCATCATCATCATCATCCTCATCCTCATCCTCATCATCATCATCATCATCATCATCATCATCATCATCATCATCAGCATCCCCGTGCTCCCTCCCCCCAC